AATGCTTCACCACTACCAGTCAGCACTGTTCGCTATGATGGGATTAATCATTGGCCGCAGCAAGTAAACATGGCTAACGCACAACGCTGCCGGAGAGAGGAATGCACATCCAAAAGCCGTGTCCGCTGCAGGAAATGCAACATTTTCCTTTGTCTGACATCTCAGAACGACTGTTTTTATTTGTTTCATACCAAATAGACTCTTTCTGATTATTTTTGCGGAAAAGACTTCCTAAGCAGTGTTCCTGCAATGATTATTTGCGAGCCTCCGAAATAAAAGCGTTTGTTTTCTTCTTCTCCACCGTTCATGGGTATTGCAACAAGGAAAGCGAGATGTAAAATATGTATTTACTAGAGCCTATACAACAGGCAGTATGGCGAAAAACCCACGCACAAGCCATGGCGCACCTTCGTCGTCTTCCTTTCCCTGCGTCTTCGTGCGCGCGCTTGGGTAACGGTCACGTGACAATATGACTGCTTTGAGGCGCAATGTCCACATATGTGGACGCCATTGAAAAATTGAACCAATGAATTTTTTTCTGAATTTCTTGTGGATTCCTTCTTTAATAGCGTTATGTATTCATAATCTGAACAAAATTTTTTTTTCGCTACGTCAGATTTAATTCGCGCCTGAAGGGGTTATTGGAACAAACAGACGGATACTTTTTCGTTTAGGCCCCAGGATATTCTACAGTTTATGGAGGAGCATCGAATTACCAAGTGCTTTGTGCTCCAAGCTGTTGCAAGGATCTACGACCCTTTGGGGTTTCTGTCACCCTTTAAGTAAGGGCGAAGATCTTCCTACAAGATCTCTGGAGGGAAAACCTCGGCTGGTATGACACCATGCCAATGAATCTGTCAGCTGTCTGGAAAAAATGGAGCAAGGAGGTAGCCATGCTACATCAATCAATCAATCAAAATCTTTATTTCAGTTTGCACATACAAACATACAAACTAGGGATGGCGAGAAAAAAGCAGCGAATTTTACGCCGCTTGACGAGCCTGGCCATCCCCACATGTCAGCAGTAGGGCACTAAGCAGAAACAACCACTGTTCCAGGTCTTGTAAGTAAAACAACCAGGTCTTGTAGGTAGCGAAAAAAAAAAAAAAAAAGTGACAAAAACAACAAAAAAAAGACCTATGTATCATAATTGACAACAGTAATTTCACTATAAAGCAATAACATAGAATTGGTACAACATATGAAGACATGAGTACATTTGATATTACAATGATACATATTGCTGAATAATGCTCTTGCGAATGGCAGAAAGAGACATAGTATTCAGGCAGTCATAAAATGATGTGTTTAAGAAATTTGGCACAATATAACTCAACATAGAAAAACCATAATTTGTTCTACACTTTGGTAATACATAACTACTTTGGGCTCTAGTATCATATGATGAGTGGCGAAACGTAAGTGGAGCAATTTTAGATAAAAAGGGGTCATTTTTCCTTATTATTCTTTTATAAAAACATGCAAATCTGTAGTCGAATAATTTGTTGACTGGTACAATATTATATTGTAGGAAGATATGTTTAGTGGGCGAATCGTAGGAGCCATTCACAATTGCGCGGAGCATTTTCTTTTGTAGGGCTTGTAGTTTTATTATATTTGACACCGTTGTATTGCCCCAGACTGAGATCAGTATTCATGAGATCAGTATTCCCAGGTTCCTCGCAGTGGGCAGTGAAGGCGCTTATCAAAAGGCAGAACTGCACATCTTTTCCGACGCAAGTGAGTCAGCATACGGTGCTGTAGCCTACCTTCGTACCATCGACTCAAGTGGTACCGTCGACGCTATACTATTAATGACAAAGACAAGAGTTGCACCGTCGAAGACGGTCACCTTGGCGAGGCTGGAATTGATGTCAGCTTTGCTTGCAGCCCGCTTACATGCATGCATCTTCAAGAACTGCGACCTGGGCACTGGTGAAGTAACATTTCGGTCCAATTCCCAGATTACCCTTTGCTGGATTTACAAGGACTTCGTTTCTTCGAAGGCATTTATACGGAGCAGGACGCAGGAGATCAAAATTTGACAGAATATTATCGATGGCGATTTTGGCCCAGAAGAGAAAACCCTTCAGATTCGCTAACTCGAGGCTTGACTGTACACAAACTGAGTAGATCACAGTTGCGGTGGTATGGACCCGGATGGCTTGCCATGTCTCATACATTATGGCCTGAATTCGGAGGAAAACTTGACCTCGAATACGGAAAACTCGAAGCAGCTGAGACAGGGCCAGAAATCCATATCCGCGCTGTTGACACGAGAACATCGATACCAACGCTGATTGATATAGAATGATTCAGCAGACTCACAAAACTTGTAAGAGTAACGACATGGGTTTTCCGTTATGTTAAAAAGTTGAAGGAAAGCGATAGGTCTGCTGATGAAATTCAACAGGCGAAGTGCTACTTGATTCGCGTAAAACAGAAAGCTCACTTTGGTAACGAAGGCAACTGCGTCACAAACGAGAACCCGATTCCTTCCAAAAGTCCGATTGGACAATTAAGATTATTCCTCGATAACATCGGGCTGCTTCCGGTAAAAGGAAAAGTTCAGATGACGACGACTCGTATGGTTCTCGCCATTCAATCCTCCTACCGAAATACTCTCACCTCATTATTTTAATTAACAATCATGCTTACGAAAAAGTCTTCCACAGAGATGTACGAGACACATTGACTCAAATCAGAAAATAATACTGGATTCCTCAATTACGACAGCTGGCGAAAAAAAACAATACGACAGTATGTCATCTGCAAAAGCCTACAGTCTAAACCAGTTGAGCAAGTTTCACCTTGTATGCCCCAGTATTATTGTAATCAAACCCCTCCGTTCCTTGTAAGGGGAGTAGATTTTGCGGGTCCACTTTACATCAAAGGTCATCTTCATCAGCGCTCTTACATCGCTCTTTTTACTTGTGCTGTAACAAGAGCTGTTCACTTGGAACTTGCTGAAGATTTGACGACGGTGAATTTCATTTGTGTACTTCGGAGATTCGTATCACGTAGTCCCACAATGTACGAGCGCTGATGAAGATGACCTTTGATGTAAAGTGGACCCGCAAAATGTACTCCCCTTACAAAAACGGAGGGGTTTGATTACAATAATACTGGGGCATAAAAGGTGAAGCTCAACAGGTTTAGCCTGTAGGCGTTGGCAGATGACACACCGTCGAATTGTTTTTTTTTTTCACCAGCTGTCGTAATTGTGTGTCATTCTGTCACACAACGTACAGCGACAATGCCCAAACCTTCGTCAAAACGTCCAAAGATCTGCAGAAGCTCTGGCGAACAATTCGGCATCCCGATGCGCTTGCACTTTTCTCTTCCTCGAAGATTCAGTGGAAATTCATTTGCCCGAGTGCTCTTTGGTGGGGCGGATTTTACGAGAGACTCGTACGTTCTGTGACGACCTGCTTGAAGAAGGTGCTTGATCGACGTTTCGTAAATCAGACAGAGTTCATTACTTTACTAACGGAAGTGGAAACAGTAATAAATTCTCGGCCTTTAACATATGTGCACAATGACGTAGATGAGCCGTGCCTCCTGTCTCCCGCAGATTTTCTCGTTGGAAGAGGACTGACAACGCTACCACCTTACGACCTCAAAATCATAACTGAGTCGGCCAACGATCAACCGAAGAAACTTTGGAGCAAGCGAGAAAAGGATTTGCAAACTTTCTGGTCTCATTGCTGAAAGGAGTTCCTCAATGAACTCAGGAATTACACATTTAACCAAGCAAAAAGAAATCTCATATTGAAGAAAGGCAATGTAGTTACACTCGGAGAAAAACATCGTCCAAGGCAACTGTGGAGCTTGGTTCACATAGAAGTCACATAGAAGTCCCATCGGTGGACGTGACGGCATCGTGAGGAGTTGCTTTCTGCGCTTGCCCGACGGCACTGTTGTGAAGCGTCCTGTGCAGCTACTCTACCCATCTGAAGCCACCTAGCGTCATCTGTCGGCGCGGAAGACTGTTGTGATTTCCTTTATTCATCCCTCGCAGCAGAAGAGCCGTCATCATCATTATTGCGCCTCCTCACGAGCTGACGCTTGGCCTCGTGGCAGTGCTGGCTCATCCTTGTCTTTTTCTTTCTTCTTGAGTTACATTATTGCCGTCCATCTGGCAAGACATGTTTTTGCTTGAAGTGAGCCGCGCCGCTGCAGTAAGGCTCAGAGGTCCAACAGGTAAGAACGACGTGAAGTCATATAAAAGTCCTGCGCACTTGGCAAGCCTAGAATGCGCATGTTATAGTTCACGCCCAACAATTCAATTTTCCGCAGCGCAAATGCTTCAGCTAATCGAAAATTTAAAACGTATTGACCTCTCGCGCAGCACCCAATGCAAAACGCTGAAGGAATCCGCACACACCAGCAGCTGTGGCGGCGTGGCCGGATACGTGAAGAAGAGAAGGAGAAGCGGTTGGAGGCAGCGCTCCTCGTCTCCGAGAAAACGGTCTATAACTTAGCGATAATATATCTGGACTTAGACAACGCAGATAACATAAATAATACTTCAATGTAGACGATATCACACCGGTATACTCGTTTATTTTCATACTGCTGAGACTCGATATTTAAATAGAATTTATGTGACGTTTATACCACTCCCCAATCCCAGACCTGCTCGTTTCAGCCTCAGGCGCGAATTCTGCATATCACAACTTGCCCACCAAAAATCAATTACATATAGGCTGACTCGCACATCACGGGAAATTCGGTAGACGTTGCATGAATAAGACAGGTATCATGCATCGATGGAACGTTTATTCTTTTCCAGGCCTAAATCTTAGAAGTGCTTCTAGGATAAAGCACGCGAGCATTGTTTGTAGTCATTCGCAACACGTGTGCGACCACCTTGATCAGCAGAGCCCGATTTCCCACACATATGGCGATTTTCAACAAGAGATAACGACAAACCACCCTGCGTTGAGTTTGAAGCATTCTTAGTACTGGGCCTGTAAAAACCTGCGCCAAAGACTCACCCAAATTGAGCACTTTCAGAAGGCGGAAAAATTTGTCTTCCGCGGTCAAGTCTTGCGGTGCCCTCTTCGAGCAGTGGTACTTGATAAACGGGTAGCATCCTGTCCGCAGAATCTGCACATTGATAAAAAAAACGATGAAACAATCCGGCAAATTCGATGTCTTGCGGAAAGTGGTTTCATTTGGCGAGTGCTGGATTTTTTTACCTTCGATTAGATAAGTGCTACGACGTGTTTAATCGAAACATAGTGCACATTACGGTGCGACGATGTGAATATCACACGTAACTTTTATAAGCGTATTCCTCCGGGGTCGATCAACGCTCGATTTTAGCGTCGATCAACGCTTGATTAAATGCTATGGTCTGTAGACCCTTTCAAGCCCATTCTAGAGGCTTTTTGTGCACTGCTCACAAACATCACTGTACGCTGTAGCTTGATGTTGAAAATAAACTGAAACTGTATAAATGAAAGTATAACTTGCTGAATCGCATGAATAGAAGCGTAATCTATATAACACTAAAAGCGAAGCCCACACTGGAATCGCCCGTGACGTTCACCCGCCATGACGCCTGCATCATAGGCGGACATACGTATAATGTTAATAAAATTAGATAGCAAGCACTGCAACCATAGTTGACGTTGCACGACATTACGCCAGCATAGAGTCTTTTTCAAAAGCATATTTGAGGCCTCGCATGCCTCTTGGCAGAATAACGACGCAGAATGTTTCATTTCAAGTCCCGCTGGGATAATAGCTATCCCTATTTTTTTGCATTCGTCGGGTAAACGCTGCCAATGCTAGTTTATGTTAACGCGCTCACACTTGGTTTACCAATATCTGTTCTCGCCGCTCCCGAGCAGATCATAACTGTGGAGCATACCCGCACACCGTGGACTATGGTACACGGGTATAAGACACGCACGTTCGGAGGCAAGAGTTTCATGACCAACCCGAAAAAAAAACTTTCACGTTATTATGGTAATGACCTGGCAATCATATTCGTCAAAGCCTCTCAACTTTCCATACAAATTTTGGTGTACCCCAAGTTCTGCAGGCGTTCAGGTGTGCACCCAGACTTAGACGGACGGACGGACGGACGGACGGACGGACGGACGGACAGACAGACAGACAGACAGACAGACAGACAGACAGACAGACATAGATAGATAGATAGATAGATAGATAGATAGATAGATAGATAGATAGATAGATAGATAGATAGATAGATAGATAGATAGATAGATAGATAGATAGATAGATAGATAGATAGATAGATAGATAGATAGATAGATAGATAGACAGACAGACAGACAGACAGACAGACAGACAGACAGACAGACAGACAGACAGACAGACAGATAGATAGATAGATAGATAGATAGATAGATAGATAGATAGATAGATAGATAGATAGATAGATAGATAGATAGATAGATAGATAGATAGATAGATAGATAGATAGATAGATAGATAGATAGATAGATAGATAGATAGATAGATAGATAGATAGATAGATAGATAGATAGATAGATAGATAGATAGATAGATAGATAGATAGATAGATAGATAGATAGATAGATAGATAGATAGATAGATAGATAGATCACATGTGGGACAGAACACATGGGTTCATCAGAAGTCCTGAGAGTAGGTAGAATAGCCTTTTGTAGCTGGCTTGGAGCAGACAGAAAAGCTTTTTGCGCAAGTTTGGAGCAGTCGGAGCAGATGTTGTCCCTTTTTAGAGTACGCCCCGCCGCGGTGGTCTAGTGGCTAAGGTACTCGGCTGCTGATTCGCAGGTCGCGGGTTCGAATCCCGGCTGCGGCGGCTGCATTTCCGATGGAGGCGGAAATGTTGTAGGCCCGTGTACTCAGATTTGGGTGCACGTTAAAGAACCCCAGGAGGTCTAAATTTCCGGAGCCCTCCACTACGGCGTCTCTCATAATCATCAGTGGTTTTGGGACGTTAAACCCCACATATCAATCAATCAATCCTTTTTAGAGTACATGTGAAGCCACATTTGTCCAACGCTGCAATAAATACTAAGCCGCCTCGTCACATACAAAGCTCAAATAGGCGACCAGTAAAATGGGCAATCGCAGGGAACTATGGGATACGACGGCTTCCGGTTCGACGCACCACGCAGGTTAGCAGCGGCACGCGCGCATTTTTGTACAGCTCCGTTGAAAAAAACGCCTCCCTGTGCGATGTCAGTGCTTTAAAGTTTTTTTTTTGTTTTTGCTAACCGTGACTGTGACGATGACAAGCTACAAAAGCCATGAACAACAAGGAAACTTTTTTATCGCACTAAAATGATCTTCAATGCTTTTATGCTGCTCGGGGGTACTGTCAGTTTGGCTAGCAGATTAGTCGATGCAGAAAACAGTTTTCATTGTATGATACGTTACTGCTGATAAAAAAGTCACCAATTTAAAGATCTCAGGGGATGGGGATGACTGTAGCAGTGTGCTCAACGTTCATTTCGGGATCGCTGCTTCGGTTGATATCGTCAGTCGGTCGGACGTCAGTCGGTCGGCACGGTGGCACATAAACAATACAGTAAGACGTAGACGGCGGCGAATAATCGAAACCCTGCGCTTTTTTAACGCACTTGGTCAAACTGTGTGCCAGGACGGCGCCCAAAAGAACAAGATAACGCAAATGGACTCGTCCGGCACTTCGTGTCAACTTACTCTTGAGTGAAAAGTTTGCGTTTTTTGTCATATATATGAGACTAATGGCTGGCGCTCTTCTCGTATGAGAAGTCGATTTCACCCGCGCGTTCCCATAATATGTTTTCTGGGCGGTTGCGCGACAATTTATTTCTCAATATAATATTCGCAGCAAATTCATGCGTAAGCTTCTTTTTAGTGTGGAATACATACGTATCTGTGATAATGGTTTTCGAACACTGTGGCTTTAACGTTCCGTTTTCAGAGGTTACCTGTCATTGTGTCTCTCTTCACAGCCATAGCCTACCTCATTTTCTTTCTTCGTTCCATGATAATCGATACACGCCGTTTGCCTTTCACGCTCGAGTTAGAGCAGCCAACGGCTCAACAAGCGATCATGGTTTATCAGAACGAAGATAAACGGGCGACCACGCGCGCGTATCCCGATTAGTCGGAGGCTTGCGGCGAACCGGTTCGCCGTCGCCTACTCTTTTCGAACCGGAAGCCTGTAGCAGACGACGCATCCCACAATCCCTCGCTCTTTTACTGGTCACCTATTGATAACATGCGCGCGCCCATCGTACGTTCTACTTGCGGGTAAACTCGTGCGAGCGGGGCCGGCGAATGCGGTGGCTGAAAGAGAGATATTATGAGCCGGTCCATGCCCGTCGATCGGATAGCGCATGCAGTAGCATCACACCGCTAGGGAGCAGGGTCGTGGCCAGAAGTGTTTGCGGGAGGGAGGGAGGTGTGGTGGTTCAACCATACCTAATGTATGTTTGCGCGTGCATTTGTATGCGCACATATATATTGTCACGAGGTCGTGACCTGCCGAAGACAGACGACCTTGTGTTGGGATTTAACTGTTTATTTGGGCGAACCTGTGCCCGGTAAACGGAAAGTCCGATTACAGTAGCAGTCTTGCACAGATAGCTGTGAACGCAGCGTCGACCGTCGATCAACTATTGACAAGGGGCGAAGTGCGTCGCCGGTTATACTCTTGCCATCGAATGTTCTAGCGTTATCGCTGGCGGTGACGTAGGTTCCAGAATAATCTGTACAGTTCGAGGAGTGGGCGTGATCTTATCGAAATGATCTACTACAGTCCTGAAGCTTCTCAAAAACTCAAGGCGCGGTTTGCGCTGTGAATTGTGTAGTGTATTGGGGCGATAAGAAAACTTGAGAAATGGAACGTGGCATTACCCCCCTCTGAAAAAAGCATCGTCCCGAGGCTTTAACTAAATATGAAGGTACAACAATAATGCAAGAAAGTACAACAAATAAATTACGATACAACAATAATACAAAACAACATTGTTTCAGTTTGTTAACACGCATAAAACGGCTTGAGGCACGCGACATGGACGACTTCCGGTCGTGATCGGCGTCGTTGAGAGTTCGTGATGCCCTCCGGGACAACCTCGTAATCAAGTGGGCCGAGACGTCAAATTACCCTGTACGGTCCGAAGTACCGTCGCAGAAGCATTTCACTTAGTCCACGTCGGCGTATCGGCGTCCACACCCAAACACGTTCACCGGGCTGGTATTCCACGAAGCGTCGTCGGAGATTTTAACGGCGGCTGTCGGTCATCTGTTGATTCTTGATACGGAGACGCGCGAGTTGTCGGGCTTCTTCAGCGCGTTGAAGGTACTCACTCACATCGAGGTTTTCTTCGTCGGTGACGTTGGGTAACATGGCATCGAGCGTCGTTGCCGGGCTCCTTCCATAGACCAATTTGTATGGAGATATCTGCGTCGCCTCCTGCCCCGCCGCGGTGGTCTAGTGGCTAAGGTACTCGGCTGCTGACCCGCAGGGCGCGGGTTCGAATCCCGGCTGCGGCGGCTGCATTTCCGATGGAGGCGGAAATGTCGAGGCCCGTGTGCTCAGATTTGGGTGCACGTTAAAGAACCCCAGGTGGTCTAAATTTCCGGAGCCCTCCACTACGGCGTCTCTCATAATCATATAGTGGTTTTGGGACGTTAAACCCCACATATCAATCAATGCGTCGCCTCCTGCGCCGCTGTGTTGTATGCGAAGGTCACGTACGGAAGAATGGCGTCCCACGTCTTGTGTTCGGCATCGACGTAAATTGCCAGTATGTCGGCGATGATCTCGTTTAGCCGCTCGGTGAGGCCGTTGGTCTGTGGGTGATACGCAGTCGTCCGGCTGGCTGGTTTGTCTGGCTGTAAGCCAAGACCGCTTGAGTAAGGTCAGCAGTAAATGCCGTTCCTCTGTCGGTGATAAGGACCTGCGGGGCGCCGTGACATAGGACGATATTTTCGACGAAGAACTTGGCCACCTCGGATGCACTGCCTTTGGGCAGGGATTTTGTCTCGGCGTAGCTGGTGAGGTAGTCGGTAGCTACCACGATCCACTTGTTTCCGAAAGCCGACGTCGGGAACAGCCCCAGTCGGTCTATACCAATCTGCTGAAATGGTCG